GCACGCGTGCGTGCGTGCGTGCATGCGTGCGCGCGCGGGCGGGCGGGCGGGCGGGCGGGCGGGCGGGCGGGCGGGCGGGGGCGTACATGCCGTGCAAGAAATCTGCTTCCATCGGGAGGGTGTCACTGGTGCGACAAATAGGCACACTATCCTCAAGTAGCCCGCGGCTCCTTTTCAATCGCACGCTCATCAACTCCCCCTTCTCCCTCTTTCTTCCCCTCGCGACCACCCACACCCCGCGACCACCACCACCCCTTAGGGCTTCTTTTAGAAACCAAACCACTCTTCATTCAAAGCATTTTGCAGATGATCTGGGATTTTCCGGCCTTCCACTGCCTTCATCACCACCGCCACCACCGCCGCCACCACCACCACCATCGCAAATTCACCACCGCGCCCGGCCCCGGCCCCCCAGGTGTTCAAGGGCTGGTGGGGCGGCGTCCAGGTGGCGGTCAAGACCATGGCCCTGCCCGCAGGGGGCGGCAGCGGGCGGGACAAGCGGGAGCGCATGGCCATCATGGAGGCCGCCATCAGCACTACACTCAATCACCCAAACGTGAGATGAAACAGACACACACACATACACACACACACACACACACACACACATACACACACACATACACACACACGCACGCACACATGCACGCGCACGCACACACACCCTCTCGACCTCGCTGCGACGTCGCCCCCACAACATACAATTTCATGGAACCCTCCACACTCCCAACATGCTCCCCCCTCCGATTCATGGTGTGACTCGCCTTGAAGCTCCCATGCCTGAACCCTTTGTTTGGTGTTTGACCCCTCACGCAATACCGCCGCCCCAACCAGCCCCGCTCACCCCCCCCCTCACACGTCCTCGACTGCCCTCTCAAGCGCCCTTCCAGCTGACCGCCATTCACACCCGCCCTTGCAATTGCCTCCAAATCTTCCGACCCCCAGATTGTCCAGACTTACTCATACTCTGTCCTGCCCCTGCACGCCGACGCCGGCGCCGGCGGCGGCGCCGCCACCAGCAACCAACGCGCCACGACAGCCAGCGCCCCGTGCGTCTCCCACGCCTTTGGCCACGCCGCCGCCGCCCCCGCGTGCGGCCCGGTGCCTGCGCCCGCCGCCGTCGCGCCAGCGGCCGGCGGGGCCGCGGGCGGGGGCCGGCGGCCGGGCGTTGGCCTGCGGGGCGGCAGGGGGCGGAACAGGGTGACCATGGATATGATGGAATTAGAGGAGATCTGCGTTTTTAAACCGACAGATGCCATCTCGGCTGTCGGCGGCGGCGGTGCAAGGGCGGCGCGGGCGTCGGTGGACGGCGGCGCGGCGGGGGCGATCAGCGGATGGGAGGTGCGGGCCGCGCAGCGCGCGTCTGATATACACACCCGCGCTTTCGAGCCGTTTGACGATCTCACTTGAGGCGATTGCACACACCAGGCAGACCTGCAGAAATCCTGTTTTGTGGCCCTCGCCTGTATGTCCTGTTGTTCACCTGCTCCGCCCCGACCCGCAAAACCCCAAACCGCCGCCGCCGCCCCCCTCATGCGTTCTAGGTGCGCCTCGTTTTGGAGTACTGCGATCTGGGGACCCTGCGGGAGCGCCTCGACGACGGAGCCCTCGCGCGCCCCGACGGCCCCCGCGACCTGGGGGGCGTGCTGGCGACCGCGCTGGAAGTCGCGCGGGCGCTGGCGTTTTTGCACGAGAACGGGGTGGTGCACGCGGACCTCAAGGTAAGCTCTCGAGATCTTCACAGATCTTCGAGCTCTTTCGAGACCTCGCGACCGATTTGATCTGATTGCACCTCGTCCGACGTCCGAGGCGCAGATCTGAGTGGGCGGGCTCGGGGTCATAGCCTGCAGCCCGGAGGAGCCGCTCCGCAGCGCGCGGGCACACGCGGCTCCTGGCGCGGCTCCTTCGCTGTCGCGTTCGGGCCCCAGATTTGCATCCCCATGTAGCAGCAGTGCGCGTGACGTCCTATTGACCATCGCCGGCCTCGCGCCTTCGTTGTGGTTGCTTGACAGGCGCGCAACGTGCTACTCAAGTCAAACGCGTCTGACCCCCGCGGGTTCATCGCCAAGGTGGGGCTGGCGGGAGCCCTGCCGCACATTGTGTGCGCAAGTTGTGTTGGAGATGTGCCTGGGTGGGGGCTGCCTGCGTGCCGCGGCAGGTGCTGCTCTGCGGTGGCTGGCTTTAAGGGCAATCAGGGCGCGTGTGCATGTGCGTACAGGCATGCACATACACATTTTCCCATGGGCGCGCATGTCTACGGATATGTGTGTGCGCACGCACACACACCCGCACGCACACACACACGCACGCACGCACACGCGCGCACACACACACGCGCACACACACACACACACACACACACACACACACACACACACACACACACACGCACACACACACACACACACACACGCTATTGTCCCAGGTGGGCGACTTCGGTCTGTCCATGCAGATCGACCCCGGGGCCACCTACATTAGTAACCTCTTCCAGGGCACGATGACCCACATGGTGAGACCTCAAGGGTCCGCGTTTGGGGCAGCCTCCTGATCTTACTTGACTTCAGGGTTTACGAGCTACACTTTGCATCCACACGCTCTCTCTCTGATACACACACAAATACACACACCAGCATACACGCACAAACGCACCTCCTCTGTGCACCCCAACCAACAACCCTGCCTCCCTGACAACGTCCTCAAGGATGTTGCCTGGAGCTCCAGGCGCTCGAAACAATGGAGCGCAGTTGCCTGAGCCGCGCAGACGTCTACACACTTATCAACACACTCACGCTCACATTTACACTCACACACACAGACACCGTTCAAAACATTCTGCCTCCTTCAATCCAACACCCCCCAGGCGCCTGAAACGATGGAGCACGGCCGCCTGAGCCGCGCCTCAGACGTCTACGGCTACGGCATACTGCTGTTTGAGCTCATGACAGGCCAGGCCGCCTTCAAGGGCGTGCCCAGGGCCGTGCTGGGCTATGACGTCATGAAGATGCACCGCAGGCCAGGTGGGTGTGAATTTCTCGGTGTTTACGAGTGCAGTTCACACTGCACCTGGGCGTGAATAAAGTCACGTGCCGGACGTGGTGGTCAGGCAGGGTGGCTGGGCTGTCTTGCGGCCGGGGTCGCCGCATCGCCCTGCAGCGGGCCGCGCTGGTGCGGTCGCCGCCCTCGCTCCGCCCTTCCGCGTGCGTTGGTGGTGGCCGCGGCCCCACGCTGGTGGCGGCGAGGGCCACCGGGTGGTAGGTGGTCGGAAGCTGCTGCCACAGTGTGTCCTATCCCCTTATGGCAGGTGGTCGGACGCCGGCCCATCCCATCCTTGCCGCGGCCGAGCGGCGGCCAGAGGCAGCCTCCCATTTCGTAATCAACACAATTGTGCCCGGTTTCTCCTGCTCACCGAGACACCCCTCTCCTTGGTTGCCCCGCATCCCCAAAATCTGACGATCGCACCCGTGCCCCGACCCGCAGAGTTCCCAAACTCATGCCCCCAAGAGTTCGCTGACCTGGCGGCGCTCTGCTGGCACCCCGTCCCAGATCAGAGGTACGCGGCGGCGCCGCTGCCGCCGCCGCTAGCGGCAGCGCTGCCAACCATCAATTTTGAGGGCGGATAAGATCGGCCTGTTTCCCTTCTCCTGGCGCACTCCCTACCCACCTGGCTCTGCGCCCTTGGGCTGAACAGCAGCCGCAGCTTCTGGTGGCGTTGCGTTGGGTTGCCTTGTCTCGTGTCACAAGACTCGTGATCACGCCGTTTGTTGGTTCGCTTGTTCTCGATCTGCAGCAGCACACCTGCCGCCATGTGCCGCGCCTGCCGTGGCACAATCATGCAACACCCAGCTCTCACCCTCCATCCTTGGGACGGCGGCGCCCCCATTATTGTTGCCAACAACCCCAGGCCGACATTTGAGCAAATAGTCTGCGACCTCTGCGCCATGCAGCGGCGCGTCACGGATGACGGCGCGTCGCTGCTGCCGCGCGGCGCGGCTGCCACGCGCGTCAGCGGCGGCGGCGGGCAGCCCGACGAACCCGCGGCTGCAGAGGCGGCCCCGAGCGGTCGCGACGGCGACGGCAGCTTCGGCCCTGGCAGCAGCATCGCCCGCAGCAGCAGGGATGGCGGCGGCGGTGGCGCGCTGCGACCAGGGCAGGGTCGGGACGTGGTGCTGGCTGTGTATGGAGGTCTCATGACATCAGCGTGTCCCTCGGAAGCTTCCAAGAGGGCCACACCCGTCCTCTGCTCCGCTTTATATAGCAGCGGCGCCGCCGCCAGCAGCGAGCCGCGGGCCACCGCCGGGAACCACGCGCGCACGCCGCCTGTGTCCGGATCCAGGCGACCGGCGCCTGCGCGGGGCAGCGGCGGCTGGCACGGCCGCGGGGGGGCGGGGGCTGAGCCGGATCTTGTCGCCAGCGGCATCATCAGCGCCGGCTTTGACCTGCTGTGGTCGCATCCACCGGGCCCAGCACCGCCCCGGAACGCAGGCTCCACCTCAGCCACCCCGACAGCCGCAGCCGCCCCCAGCCTGCCGCAGCCACCGCCGCCCAGCGGCGGCTCGCCGACGGGGGCGCCGCACGGCGCTCGCAGCGCCGGCCACGGGCAGGCGCAGCCCTGCCCGCCCCTGCATGCGGCAGCGAGCGGCGCTGGCAGCCCCTGTTTCAGCCGGGCGGACGGCGCAGGCCAGCGCCCGACCGCGCCTGTACCCGAGGCTGCGCCGCTTCAAGGCGCAGCGAGCGACAGTCGGTCGCCTGCACCCGCGCCTGAACAGCGCCCCACAGGGGCGCAGCGGGGGCCACATCAGCACGCGGGGCCGCGTCACCGCGGTGATGTCATCCCCGCGGGCGGCGGGGGCACTGCGAGCCTGCGCGCCTACTGGGAGGGGCGCTCGGGGCGCCCCAGCCACCACAAGAGTCTCCCCAACCGCCCACACTGACGACTGCTCAAGGATCAAACCCAATCTCCCACGGCGGCGGCTGCAAGCCTGCCGCAGCGCGCTTTCCTTAAAGGAGACTTGCAAGACGACGTGACGTCCGGCAGCCGCCGCACTGCGGCGCCGCTCAACGCGCCCTGCCCTGCGCCGCCGCCGCAGGCGCCCATGCCGTTGTTGCCGCTGCCGCACGATGGCTTGGTCACCGGCTGCACGGCTTAGCTTGGTGTGACGTACAATCTGGGGACGGCACCTCACACGTACCATGGGCCTGCAGAGAGACAGGCGAGAGACGTGCCGGCTGCTGCTCCTGGCGCCCAGTGGACCGCGCCTCGCGCGGCCGAGCGCTTTTCCGTTTATTTCTTGACGGGCGGACTTTGCCACGACCAAAAGCATGCGTCACACAAGACTTTGATATTTGGGAGTGGGGTGGGAGGCAAGCGGGGCGCGCCTTTGACGAATTGGGGCGCGGCGGCTCTTCACTTCTTCCTTGAGGGCTCAGATTTTCCACATTGCCCTTCCAGCAAGCTTTGAGCCAAGGCAGGGACCCACACTTTTGTTGCGGCGCGAGCGGCGAGCCTTGCCGCACCATGCCCACGACACGACCGGACACGGCGGTGCTTGCCGCTTAGGGCTGGTAGGGCGGTGCAGCGCATCTGATGTCATGGTTTGCTGGGGTGGCAGCCGACAAGGGCCTGCGTGCCCGGTTGGGCCGGGCCGTGAGGGGATCGTGTCGCCCAGTGGCTTTTTCTCTTGGGGATTCATTGCGTACGGGCATCCGCCGCAAGGTAAGCCAGCCCATTTCTCACACCCCCTGCTGTGGCGAGTCGGCAGCCGTGAGCTGCGCCCGCCGCCCCGCGCGGGCCGCGACCCACTTCTTCCTTACTTTGCAGCCGGCTGGGTGCGCGTCAAAAGATGCCACGTCCCAAAGCTGGCCGGGCTTCACTTTCACGTTCTGTTCCCCGCTTAAGAAAGGTGCTGGGCGCCGCACGCACAACACACGCCGCCCCCGGCAGCCCGCGCACGCGGCGGGCCGAGGGCTGCGATCTCCAGCACAGCCAAGTGAGCTGAGGAAGGGTTTTTTCGGCAAGCTGCGTGTTTGGTATTTGCACGCATGCGCCGACCTCCGCGCTCCCTCAAGAAGGACGCTTCAAAGCGGCGTGTCCGCCGCGCCGACTGCACCCAAGCACCATCGATATCCATTTCCCAGCACCCGCGTCTCTTAGGGTGGGTCGGCAGGCCGGCGCTCTGATTTGCACATGCCGGTACACCAATGCGCCTGATCACATCCGCTTATCATACCACAATGTACTTCGTTGTGCCTCCCAGAGCCGCCTGAGCTGTGCGTGCGTTGATTACACGGCAAAGCGGTGGACGCAGCTGCTTGCCTCACGCTGTCGCCGGCAGTCTGGGGGCGTCTTCTTTGCATTTGTTCGCGCTTCCAACACTTGCTAGGGGTGTGTGAGTGTGGCTGTCTGCGGGTGTCTGGCAATAGATTTTTTTCCAAGTCTGTGACCCTCCCGATACTCCAGGCGCGCGCCTGATAACTGCGCCTCTGGGAGAGCGGCAGGGCGGGGGGGCATCATGTTGCGTGAGGGCATCGCGGCCGGCAGCTGCCTTCCTTTGTTGACACGACACTAGCCAGCACCGCACACCGAACTTGCGTTGACACAGCGCGGCGGCCCTCTGCTGGCGGCTTCCTGGGCACGCACGCCGAGGCTCGCCTAGCCACACGAACTACATGCAAGCGGCGCTGCACGTCGTCCAGCCGCATCTTTCATCGCACCTCACCTCCGCCTCCGTTTGCCTGTTGGGGGCGGCATTTTGTCCGTGGTGTGAGCATCACAACTGCACCTCCACCTCTGCGTGAGGCAAGCACAGGGAAAGCAGTCTTTGCCTGTGTCGTGTCTGGCCATGCCCAACGAGAAACCGCTGAGTAAGTAACCGACAATACTGTTATCCCAGCCAACGCTGCCAGCTGGGACCAATTTTAGTAACCACAACTAACAGCAGGGCCAGCCCGCAGCAGACTTGCCCCAGTACCTTCGCTGCGGCCCAGGGTGCGTTGGTGAGTTGCTGCATGCTGTGCTGGCCGGCCGCAAGCCGGTCGTCCTGTGATCTGCGGCTGGCTGCTGACCTCGCTCGACAATCAGGGGCGGTGCCTCGGCAACACTTACTGGATACAACAGGCTTGGCACAGGATCTGGATTAATAAATTGAGAGTAGTAACCCCAAGCCAGCAGCAACCTAACCGCTTGCTGCCAAGGGCGCGTGAAGCAGCTGCCAATAATGCCACGGTTTTTACGCAACCAAGGACCGCCGGCGCTGCCTTGCACGTGGTTGCTGAAGTTGCATGCCAGGTGCTGGAGGCTAAGGACAGCCATTGGCTGATGTGTCGGTTGTGATCAGTTGGCATTACACAGCCGCAAGCAAACGGCTCTGGTTGGGTGCGCTGTCCCTGCTGCCTTGACCTGAGCTGCTGGGAACAGTCAAGGGGGCCTCCATCCTCGTGTGGAAAGGGCACCGCTGCCTGGGTTCCAACGAACGGCTTTCTCAGCCGCGGCACAAAAGGGCCCAAGTGAAGCAGAATTGGCAAAGAAAGGAAACCGTCAGGGAGGCAACAAGGTGGCTGGGGAGGCTGATTTTGGCAAATGAAGTCGACAGTCGAGACAATGTTCTTGAGACCGCCCCAGCTGACCTCAATGCCTTGCGCCCTTTGGGTTGTGGTGCAGATGCTCGCTGTGCTTCATCGTCAAGCGCATGTGTGTGTGATAGTTTGGTCCCGACGGAAATCTTTAGGCTGGAGCCATGTGACCAGCGCAACCGTTCAGGTGCCCTTGCCGCCGCCGTTGCCGCTGACCACGACCCTCACAGTCGCAAACGCGTTGCTGCCCTCTATCGGCCACCCAGGCAGGTTCCCGGACGCCCCCGCGCCGCCGCCGGAGCTGGCGCTGCCCCCGGCGCGCGGACTGCTGCTGGCGCTCGCGAGCTGCTGCATCGGCGGCGCGGAGGGCGCGTCGCCACCGCCAGCAGCGTGCGCCGCCCACGGCTGCGGCTCGGACGCGCTGAAAGGCGCGGGCGACTGCGCGCCATGCCGCTGCTGCAGCTGCTGCTGCTGCTGCTGCCCCATCCCAGGAGGGTACATCATCCCCGGCGGCGCAGACGCGCGCGCCGCGTGCTGGAAGGCGCCGCCGCCCAACCTCGGGTAAGCGGGCGACTGAGGCGTCGATCCGATTTGGGAGTACCCGCCGGCGCCGCCCCCCACGGCCGCGCCGCTGAACAGGAAGGATACCGGGAAGGCGGTGGCGGGCTCGGATGTGTACCTGCCCGCCCCTGACTCGTAGGCGCTCCGCGACCGCGGCTGCATGAACGCGATTCCGCCGCCGCGCGCGCCGCCGCCCGCTGCCGCCGACGCGGCGCGCAGCCGCGCGGTCGCCGTCGCCGCGCGCCGCATGCAGCAGACAACGGCCGCGCCGACCGCGGCGGCGACGAGCAGCAGCGCGCTGAACGCGAGGCAGGCGATCACGATCGCGCGCTTCAGCGGCGACAGCGCCGCGAGGCCGCGGAGGACGCCGCCGGCGCCCCCGCCGGACCCGCCGGTCTCTATTGAAACCAGAGACACGCCGGCGCCCGGCCAGCCTTGGTCCGAGAGCGCAGCAGCGAGGCTGCCGTTCGAAACGACAGACCTGAAAGCTGCACTGGCGGCGTCCGCGGCGGTGCTGTTCGGGAACCCCGAGACTTTAACGGTCACGAGGATCTGCTGGGAAGCCGCCCGCGCGGCCCGCAGCGCGCGACGGCGTGGCACGGCGTCGCCCCCGGGCTGCGCCTTCGGCCGGCGGTGCCGCAGGGGAGGCGGCGTCATTGGCCCCTGCGCCGGAATCTGGTCACCGCCTTCTTCCACATACTGAGACTGAGTGCCGTCGTCCTTATCTCTGTGGGGTCCCACGATAATGGCCCTCGGCCCGAGCAGATTCTTGAAAGCCGCATCGATGCCGGGCGCTCCCCTGCTCTCCGCCGCGCCCCTTGCGCCGTTGCCGCCGGTGCTGATATCGTCAGCGGCGCCGGCGGCGGGCCCGGCCCAACCCAGCAGGGAGCGGCCACCGCTGACCGACTCAAATGCCAGCACCTGCTCCCCGCCCTGCGGCGGCGCCCCCCGATCACCGGCCTGTGTCACACGGTCTGGCAGCGTCTGCCCGCCGCCGCTGCCGCCGCCGTCGCCGCCAATTATATTCCCGTCTGCGTCCACATACATGATGCGCGCCCTGGCTAACCTTGGCTGCACGACCTCCGCAGCCTGCGACTCATTGAAGCCCCGCACAGTCAGCGCGGCGGGCCCAAACGCGCCCGCGCGCCACGCCGGCGCGCCGACGGCCGCAGCGGCGGTTGGTGGCGGCGCCCCCGGTCGGAGCTTCCCTGATTTGAAGCCGAGCGGCGCCATGGCGACTTGTGCGCCGGCTCTCGGGGCGGACTGCGCCGCGCCGGCCGTCTGGTTGCTCCTCGACGTGCCGCCCGGCTGCTGCTGCTGCTGCGGCGGCGGCGGCCGCGGCAGCGGCGGCGCGACAGAATCGGACGCGCCAGCCACCTCAACGGCCGCCTCCTCAGGCGCCGCGGCGCCGCTGCCCGGCGGCTCCGGCGCGCCAAACGCCGCAAGAGCGGCGGCCGCCGCCGCCGCGCCGGCGGGGCTGCTAGCACTGGCGTTCGCGTCGATGGGGTACAGAGAGCCGTCGCCGGCCACGACCAACATGCTCAGGCGCCTTTGCTGCTGCTGCTGCTGCTGCTGCTGCTGCTGCTGCTGCTGCTGCTGCAGCTGCCGCCCCGAAGCATCCCGCTGGCCGCCTCCCTGGGCGGCCCGGGCCGCGCCATCGCGACGCGGCAGGCGCCCAGGCGCCTCGAACGCGCCGTCCGCCGCAATGGATGCAATCGAGCGCATCGCTGGCAGCAGGGCAAGCAGCTGATTGCCGCCCGCAGCGGCTGGCCCCGCGCCGGCCTCAGGCTGGGCGCCGCCGCCCCAGGCCGCGGCGCGCTCACGTGCTATCAGCCGCTCGACCGACGCCGCCCCACCGCCGCCCGCGCCGCGCCGGCCGTGTCCAGCTCGCTCAGCGGCGTCCGCGATTTGGGAAATGAGAGCCTTGGTGCCACCAGCAGCTTGCAGGCGGCGGCGGTGGGACGCCGCGGGGGCGGCTTGCCAGCTGAGAATCCCGACCTGTACACATTGAGCAAAAGAGTGTCTTGAGGTTGCTTTCTTAATCTCTTTGGTACCAATGCGGGGTATGGGCGAACGGGCGTTGCAGCAGGCCAGGGTACTTGCCGCACAGCTGCCCGGTCGGAATTCTGCCAGTCAACATGCACACGCAAGGCTGTTGCACGTTCCCCTTTTATTGATGTAGATTCTTTGCAGACAACTCACACAATAGTGCATACGCCTTAATCTTACAGCCCCACCCAGCACGATCACATGAACAAGTGTGCACACAAAACGTTCACACGTGCATGCAAAATACACGCACATGCGCGTGCGCGCACACACACGTGCGCGCGCGTGCACACACACACACACACACATATACACACCTGGCTCGTGTCGACCTCCAGCAAGAGCGCAAGCGAGTCCTTCAGGCGCTTCTGCTTAGTCAGGCTGTAGCTGCTCGTGCTGGGGTCAGGGTCCGTGATCGCCAGCTGGGCTTGAACGTAGTAATCAGCGCCCGCAGCCACAGCGGCGCAGGCCTCCCCCGGCGATGCGGCCTGCGAGGGACGGGCAGGTGATTCCAGGAGGTTGTGGGGTACTTCCCAGCCATCTGAGGCGAGCACACTTGCTCGGCTGCTGGCCGCACGACATGCCGCGCACACACTTGCTCTGCACCCAATCATTTTGGATTGCCCCGCTGTTGCTGCTTGTCTCCAAGCAGGCCGCCATCCTTCAAAGAGCACCCGCAGGCCGCGCCGCCCCTGCCGCACCTGCAGATCAAACGTCTGCGTTTGCGTCGCCTTCTCCACCGTGCCAGACACCAGGTCACACGCCACCGCTGCGCCGCTTGGGTCGACGTTCAGCGCCGCCAGCGTCAGCCGCGCGCCGCCCCAGCCGTCGCCGTACGAGTCGTACATGGTGACGTCATACCGGCCGGTGGCCAGGCACGCGTACGAGTAATAGGACCGGAACTCCTTGTACTCGCCCTGGGAAGCTTCCTGCGCAGCTGCCGACAGCGAGGACGCCGCGCCGCCGGGCAGCAGGCCGCCGGCCATGACGACCGTCTTCTGCTGCAGCGCCACCGCCAGCGCCGCTGACACGACGGACACCACCGTCGACCGGGAAACCACCCACGACGCCTCCCCCGCGGCGGCCCTCGTCCGCATGACCGCCTGCACGAGGCGGCTGCCCGGCCCGCACGTCGGGTGGGAGACCTGGACGGTGGAAGCTGCGGAGAAGCTGCCTGCCCAGCCGGACCGTTGGATTGAGCCGTCGGTGGTGAATGTGAGGCGCATGAGGCCGGTATCTGTCGAGACGTTGGGGGGCAGCGCCTGGCCAGAGAATATACCGATGATGCCATCCATGTCCTGCATTGAAGGTTCCGAGGTTTGGCGAGGGGGCGCAGCGGGTTGAGGGAGGCAGGGTCTGGCTTGAAGCAGTGTTTGGAGCGGAACTGTGCGCTGGTTGTGACGCAGGGCAGGGGGCAATTCCAGTATAACAGGCGAGTGGGAGGGTGCCATGGGGTGGTCAGTCAAGCAGCATCCACTTTCCCCCTCGAGCACCGCGTGCGCGCCCTGCTGCGCAGCGCAACTCGGAAAGCGCGCAAAGGGTTGCCTTGGACGCACCCACGGGTCTTGCAGGGCGAGTCCAAGACAAGGTACAGCTTGCTATGGGCACCCCACTGACGAGAACCGACCTCAACAGTGAGGGTGTCGTACATCGGCTCTGTGTCAAACCTCGAAAAGCCCAAATAGATGTAGGGCTTCTCCGGCGACTCGACCGTCCACTGGCAGCTGCTGGACCCGCTGTAGACGCCGCCCTCGGGCGCGCCGTCGGTGATGGCGCCCGTCGAGCTGTTGAGCGCCGTCTCGGCGGCGCAGAGCGGCGGCATCGACAGGAGCTGAATGGGCGCGAGGGGTGCGGCAGGGAGAGGGGTGGGGTCTGGAGAGGGGGACAGGACATTTGGCACGGACAATCGCAGCTGCCTCAAACACATAGTTTTTTTCTGTGGCCCCTCCATCGGGCCTGCTGGCTGCCCGTGCTCCAAGGCGGCCCGCATCACCAAGCCCCCCGGCCCCCCTGCGGCTGCAACGCAAATAAAGAGTCCCCTGCCGCTTCCAGCCATCACCTTCCCCCTCGCTTGACTTTGCCCCAGACCTCAAAG